TTGTTTTTTTTTTTTTTTTTTTTTTTTTTTTTTTTTTTTTTTTTTTTTTTTTTTTTTTTTTTTTTTTTTTTTTTTTTTTTTTTTGTGAATCCAATCTTTTGTCCTTGAACTTCTGAATCCTTAACAAATTTGGAAATGTGAACAAAATATTCCTTATAAGGGAGCCCTTGAAGAGAAAACTCAAAGAAGACAATATCTGCTAGCGGTGGGCTTAGACTGTTACAAATGGTATCAGAGCTAGACACCGGGTGGCGTGCCAGCGAGGATGCTGGGCCCCCAAGGGGGGTGGATTGTGAGATCCTACATCAAGGTTGGAGAGGGGAACAAAACATTCCTTATAAGGGTGTGGAAACCTCTCCCTAGCAGACACATTTTAAAACCTTGAAGGGAAAGCTCAAAGAGAACAATATATGCTAGCAGTAGGCTTGAGCTATTACAAATTGTATCAGAGCTAGACACCAAGCGGTGTGCCAGTGAGGATGCTGGCCCCCAAGGGGGGTGGATTGTGAGATTCCACATCGGTTGGAGAGGGAAATAAAACATTTCTTATAAGAATGTGGAAACCTATCCCTAGCAGACACGTTTTAAAACCTTGAGGGGAAGCTCTCAAAGGAAAAGCTCTCAAAGGGAAAGCTCAAAGAAGACAATATTTGCTAGTAGTGGGTTTGGGCAGTTATAAATGATATCAGAGCTAGACACTGGGAGGTGTGCTAGCAAGGACGCTAGACTCCCTAAAGGGTGGATCGTGAGATCCCACATCAATTGAAGAGAGGAACAAAACATTCCTTATAAGGGTGTGGAAACCTCTCCGTAATCCTGAAGCTAAAAGTTTAAGCTTTCCTTATTTTCTTCGTTTGTTCGTTCTTCCAGAAACATACTAGAGCTAGAGAAAATAGAGTATGCTGACTATATGTTGTCCATTTGTGGTGATGAGACTCTAAGAGAAGTTTCTTCGCCCGGAAGAATTGGCAACGTGATATTTCTCTCAAATGACAACAGATTTGTGATAAAAACCCTGCGAAAATCTCAAGTCAAGGTAAGCCCATCATAACAATATCATAGAATGTCTGCTTGCTTTGCTTGAGACCTTACAACTCAAGAGAAAGCTCGGGTACCAAATGATAAGAAATGAGTACAAGGGAAGTAAGATTTAGATTACTTTGTTGATCGAATATCTCAAGGTAAAAACACTTGTTTGAGATTCGAATCACTCCACAAGAAAAATCGATTATGTCTAGCTTGAATGATTCGCAAATGAAAGGTAAGAATACTTCGCCCTTGTTGAGATTCGAATCACTCTACAAGCAAGATTGATTATGTCAAAGCTTGAATGATTCTGCACGCAACCTAAACTACATGGAATTACAAAGAAAACTTAGTCATTGGCTAAAGGAAAGCACAAATGCTTCTTTTACTACATTTTCCAAGTCTCATTTTAAATGACAACATACATGGCTTTATATAGCTTCAAAATAAAAACCATTAATCTTACGTGAGGCATTCCAAGAGTTGTAACTATATTTTTTTACCATAATTAGCCATTATATAAATAAGCCTTAAAATACATTAATGAAACACCATATCTTTAAATTATCATCCATCATAAATTTGTAACAATAAATAAAGCTTCACTTGAAGTATCTTGAAGCGTTTGTTCCATAAATGAAGCTTAATTCTTCTTAATGTGGCATTAATATTACATGATTGATTGAGATGTCTTGGTTCATATCACCTTATTTTAGCTCAACACTTGATCTCAGGTTCTCAGGGACATGCTTCCTAAATACTATCGACATCTAAATAAGCACGGCTCGTCATTGTTGACCACATTATATGGACTTCACGTAGTGAGACCCGTCGGAGGTATTAAGGTACCAGAAATTTGTATTGTATGTCCTGTCTCATGAGCTTATGGTCTTACTGTATTTGTAGGAGTATAAAGATAAGCACTTCTTCCATATTAGAATGGCAAGCTTTGATGAAGAAGTTTATCTGAAAGAGTGCAGCTCATAAATTGTAGAGATTATGTGTATCTAGTTTTCATTTTGATGCTTGTTTAATGGTTTTTCGTTTTCTCAGGTTTACTTTGTAGGCATGTCAAACGTCTTGCAATCAGATTTGCACTTGCATCGGCGATATGATCTCAAAGGCTCGTCGAGAGGTCGGAATTTTAACAAAGTGATAGTCCATGAGGAGATAATCTATAAGGATATTGATCTTGATTTCTACTTTTACCTCGAACCGTCCCTCCGTAACAAGATATTGTTGTAAGTTCATTACGTTAATGCTTCATAAATAATCATCCTAAAGACGAAACGTTCCCTGTGGCGTAGTTTTAAGAGAGTGTTCTTATGTTCTTCAGGCAACTCAAGTATGATTGCGAGTTTTTGGAGGCTGAGGGCATTATGGACTACAGTCTTTTCCTTGGTGTGCATATAGATGCCTCCTCGTGTCAAGGTGGTTTCTCTCCTCCTCTCGAACCATTAACATTTAAGATCATTGATGGCTTAATCATCGAATCAGACTTAGATTCGCCATTAACTTAAAGTATTTAAAGCATCGTAAAGATTTTCAGTTTGAACGTAACGAAAGGGATAAAACATCAAATTATGATCCCATCGTAAAGATTGTCATTTATTTAGCATTTAAGCCGAAAAGGGAATTTGTGAACCGAACGTAACTTTTCGTAGTTCGATTCAGGCTCATTAGACAGGATAAATTCTGTTTCTGGAACGAGGACAGCTCGACATGACAGTCCAGAGTTGACTGTTGCTGGCATTCTTAAACATAATGGCAGGTATCCACCATTGGCTCTTTTAGATCATTCTGTTTTCTGTTTCTAATAGTATTTTGAGCTAGCAGCCATGGTCTACTTGAACTAACGAGGTGTTCATATCAGGCTTGGTGCAAAACTTCCTGCAAACGCGGTCCGAACGCCAAGGAACGTAACGAGGTGTTCATATCAGGCTTGGTGCAAAACTTCCTGCAAACGCGGTCCGAACGCCAAGGAACGAGATGGGAATCGTTTCTTCACCAAGCAGGGTCAGGGTGCCAGAGTGCTACAATGTATTGCTATACTTTGGAGTAATAGACATTTTCCAGAATTACAATGTGGGTGCCAGAGTGCTACAATGTATTGCTATACTTTGGAGTAATAGACATTTTCCAGAATTACAATGTGATCAAGCGTCTAGAACATGCTTACAAATCTATACAATATGATTCCAAGACAATCTCAGCTGTTAACCCCAAAGTTTATTCTTCTCGCTTCCAGGATTTCCTTAGCAAAGTGTTCTTAGCAAGAGAATGTTAACCCCAAAGTTTATTCTTCTCGCTTCCAGGATTTCCTTAGCAAAGTGTTCTTAGCAAGAGAATCAACCTAAAACTGGTAATCCTCTTCACTCTTGTTGTTCAAAGAAAGAATGGCCCTCGGGAATCAACATCTTATACTCTGCTCATCTTACAGGCATTTCGAGTGTTGATCCATGTCAAGTCAACCCAGTTGTAGTAAGAACTCCTCACTTTATTGGGCAATGAATTGCATGAAATGTGGTTGAGAATTCAGAGGAAACAAACCCATTTGATCCATATAAGGGAAAAAATCCGTGGCTAACTTTTCAACCTTCTATAATTACGTTTTGAATGTGGTTCTTAGTTTAAACAATACTGCTGCACCAAAAGTAGCTGGTTTTGAACACAAATCTATCATCCGTTACAATAACATGCTCTTCCTCCCTCCATTCACTCTTGTCATTTTCTTAAACGCCGATCCCAGATCTCTCCCACCATTGATTTGCATACCCGTCTCCATTAATGCCCACCATTTCCCCCTTCCACTTCACCATATAATACCCCCCACCCCTCTGCCTCATTCCATATCCATTCCTTCCACCGCGGAGGAAGAGAGCTGCCGACCGAGCTCCCTTCAATTCAAAGAGAGGGGCGGTTGAGGGTCAAAGGAAGTGCTGCGAGTTCATGAATGCCTATGGGGTGCCGCTCCTTCGCCTAAGCGCGCCGCCGCACCTTCCAAAGGCTTGCATGCGCTCGGAGCTGTTCTTGCCTTCTCCTTTCCTTTATTGGATTGAAGGGAGCTCTTCCCATGTTATCTCCTCCGCTTTCTCTTTCTCTTATCTATCAATTTCTTATCATTTCTTCCCTTTTTCTAGCTAGCTAGTGGTAGCAGACAGTGATAGCGGTCGTGATTGATGTTGTTCGACAAGGAATGTTTTAGGCTGATGAAGAAGGCTTCAATTACGATCTTTGTCGTTGATATATTACATAAATAGTATGATTGATGTTGGGTTTGTAGCGTCCATCTTAAATTTAAATCTAATATTTCATTTAAAATCAATTCTTGTTCTTCCTTTATCAAACATTTTAATCCATTTATTCTAAATTTAATCTTCAACGAATATAAACACAATTCAATTATTCCTTCCTTCAACGACTTAGTATACGAATCGAAGAGTTGATCCTTCAATAATAACGTGTAATTCGAACTTCTAACTTTTCATTATTTATGAAAATGACTAAAATACCCTCCACCACATTTACTTCTCTAATGGTTGTTATAGTCCCACCGCTAACAACTATGATTTGATATTACGGTCGCCTACCCTTGGAAACAAGGTGATGGTGTGGTGGTGGTCGATGATAGCGGTCACACTCACAACTAATGATAGCTTTGTTATTCACCACAGTTGATCTTAATATAATAGTATGATAGCTTCGTTATTCACCACAATCGATTACGTGTACTTTTTTTTACCGAGTCGAAGTTTGGTCCCTTGAACGTTCAAGACGGGGTGGAGATGGGGAGTATATCCTTCTCCCTTCTCCCATCCCCCAACCCTAAATCCACCTGAATATTTAATTTTTGTATAAGAAATTATAATAATTATTTATAACAATAATGTAAACTTTAAAATCCTTCAATAATCTACATTCTTTTGTTTTAACTTAATTACATTCATATTTGTGTGATATTATATTTAATTTCAAAATATAATCCTTTTGTATGTTGGAAGAAGTATATGCTTAAATAAATAAAATAATAATACTAACTTTAACCTAAAAATTAATAAATTTTAGTAACAATAATATTAAAAAAAATAAGAAAAACAAATATTTTCTCGCGATCCAAATCCCCAAACAAAGATTCGGTGTAAATACGACCGCAATCGTCCAAAACAGAAAATTAATATGGAAAATTCCTACGGAAACGGACATTAGGAGTACATCTCCACCCCGCCTTGCCCCGTGTTGTCATACCTAAAGTCGGTAAAGATTCTCGGGAAAAAAGAAGGAGAGATAATATCTTCCTATCATCCTTTATCCAAAATCGATAATAAATCATATATTTCGACAATTAAGGTAAGTATAATCAAGAACGTAGCTATTAAAATTGTCGGAATCAAATAAAATAAAATCTCCCTTAATCTACGTTGATAATGACAAATTAATTAAATAAAAGGGAAGAAAATGAATTAAAAATCCTGGTTGGAGTTGTTGCATGTATTGGATGAACATCAAAAAAATAAATGAAAAAAGCATTAGTTTTAGGGTTTCATGTGAGTTATAATTATTAATTATTATTTGAATTAGGGTAACAAAAGGCATGCAAAAAGCAATACAAAAATGTGAGCAACAACTTACCATATTTCAGAAGCTACAAGCCGTATCTTCCGCCCAGTTTTCCGGCCGACGTAACCGTATGCCTGGCTATTTCTCTAAGGGGAGCCGCCATTCCCCCTTTTCATCAGTTTCATTCATTACCATTACTAATTCTTTCATGTTCTTCGTAACACACCGTGTATCTCCTCGTTGGGTTGCCTTCGATTGGACAAAAAATTTCAAGTTGATTGAGTTAGTGACTCGAAAAACTCGAAAATAGTTCATAACTCATCTCTTTTATTTTCAAGTTGGGTTCAGTTGGAAATCGTTTTGAACCAAGTTGTTGAGTTGATGACCTGAACAATTTGAATAGAGTTTACAACTCACTCTGTATTTTCAAGTTGAGTTGTTTTTTTTTTTTAATTATTAAAAAAATATATTTATAAAAGTAGGATTGGGTTGAAGTGTGACATTCAACCGAGATTATAGAAACACTTTTGAATAAATATAACATCTTTATGATTTATTTATTGTATATCCACGTGGATGTATGATGTATGCATATGTTATGCAACGAAGGGGACCGACCCATTCGTGAAAAGAGAAAATATGGTGAAAGAAAGACTCAACATTCAATTTAACTCCTACTCCTACTTCTTTGGTTAACTTATCTCGAACGTCCAAAAATCTAAAGAAAATTTGATGATGATCTCGATTAGGCACGACAAAAAAAAAAGTTATTAAATGTTATAAGAACCCAATTAATACAAAACTTTGGTTAAGTTGGTAAACGCAAATCCAAAAGATTAATTGGATAATCAAAAGATAAACTCTCGCAAATAGAAGTTCATAACTCGCTCGAGATTAATTTCTTAAGGGGTTCAAATCTCTTTATGAAAGCCCAAGATATCTAAAAGGGTCGGGCCATAATAATAGACTTGGGTTGGGCCAACATGAATTTGGGTCACCTATAACAAGCTCAACTTGATTTTTTACCATACCATTCTAATTAGTTTATAATTTAGTTGAGAATTTCGTGAAATGATTCCTAATAATTAGCTCCTAATTCATGTTCTTGTTGTGAGAATTCTTAATGGCTCGTAACATAAATGATTATAATTATCTAAATCTAATTGGGTACCTTATCTATATAAGATTATACGAAAGGTTCAAATTCCATTTTTACAAAATATATATATAGAAAATGAGTTAGAATACGACATGTGGTGTCCCCCGTAGAATTGTAACAAAGGAGAATTCTAAACCCTAAACCCTAAAAAAAATATAGGTATAGGTACTCGCTCGAGAATGATTGCTTATTTAAAAACAAACCCCATCGAAAAAAACAAATTCGATTAGGTCCTAGGGGCCATTCCTATAGTGAAGAGTAAGGAAAGGACTTTCAGGACAACCAGGCCCATCTTGTATGGGCTTGGGCTTGCTTTAACGATGGGTCAAGGGTCATGTAGGTTTGAGTCTCAAAAGAGTTAAAAAAAATATTCGGATGAAACTAAATATAAATAACGTTACAATTATATCATTTTTAAAATTAATAATAAATTTATTGTAGGTGCTCATAAAAATTGAAAATGGAAGCAATAATTAATAATTAATAATAATAATATAATAAAGGGAAATAATTAATATAAATAATTAAGCAAAGAGTGTGGTAGGGACAGGTACAGGAATTTGATACGTCCAATCCCCTTTATTACGGGGGGTAATTGTTAGGGGCGCCTCTTTCCCCAAACCAAACAAACAGCTAAAACCAATTGAAGAAAGCCTCCTTGCCGCTTTGGTTGGTCTGCTTCTCTCTCTCTCTCTCTCTC